GCCACCGGTTTCTGGTGTTCCGATTAGATCACATGGCTCAAGGGTTCATCTGCACCTTCAGCTTTTAATGTGCTCTTGGATCCTGTTGAACACTGGACCTTCAGATCCAAGAGCACATTAAAAGGTACTGACACCAGTTTCTTTGATTTTCCTCCTCTCTCCTGAACTAGGATTTCGGAAATTTATGCCTCTTCTAACTACTAAAGCTTTGATTGTCCTCTATAAGCAATTTGATCTCTTCAATTCGTGCTTAGTCTTGGCAAATTTTATAAAACAAACAAACAAGCAAACAATATCGTTGCTTATTATTATTAAAATGAATTCTGCCACCATTCAGAGGTTTGCATTTTTTCGCCGCTTTTTTCAATTTGCGAAGTTACTGTCTATGATTTTCAGTGCTTTTACCTTCCGTGGTAGTCCTCCATCTCAACTGTACCAATATGCCCATGTAGGTGGCAACTAAAACAGGATTACCATATGTTGTGCCTCGTTAAAAGGATTTCAGGCCTTGGTGAAGGAGACCTTTCTCTAAACTGAAAGCAGGGCACATCATTGGCTGGGGATTTAAGTCGAGTCTGTACGACCCCCCCCTTTTTTTTGGGGGGGGGTTGGTACGACCCCCCCCCCTCCGGCACTCTGTTCCTCGTCATCGAATCAATTATCAAGTGTACCCCCCCCCCGTTAAAACGTCCGTGAAGCGAGAAAAATCAACTTTCCCAGCCCAAATACGACCCCCCTCTCCTGGCGGCCAAATACGACCCCCCTCCCCTATTGGGGATTCCCCAACAACGATGTGCCCTGACTAAAAGACTTGCAGCTTTCAGCCGTAGAAGGGTCCTGAGGTAGATGAATCCGACAGTCCAATAGGGCGTGAGGCAGGTCTGGCGGATTAATATTACTACGAAGTAAAGGATAAAGTTTCGCCGTTGATCAATCCCTTTGTGGGATGCGGCACGCATTCTACTTCCATTCAGAATCGTAGTGGCTTATTGAATGCGATGTGGCCTATACAATGACTTGCGGGGCCAGCCGATGTACAAGTCAGCATGTTGATCCTCTTGTAGCAATTTACCGTCCCTGGAGGGTAGAAGGCTTAGCTGGAATGGGCGGCAGCCGATCTCGGGCCAATTACCACTATATCACGTTTCCCCAAATCATTGTTATCAAGCTAATTCAGCAAAAATGAAAACATGCTCAAGACCCATGTACTGTTTTCTTTTACTTTTCATTACAATATTCATTTTTGCTACTTCAGTAAGTTGATTTCAGTAAGCTGCTAAATGGAATGTTATATCTGAAAGCGGTCGAAAATTCTTATCAATTTCAAGCTTAATAACTTGATAGTTGGAAGAAACCTGTGTGTTACTTATATATTTTTTACTTCTAACAATAGAGAAGTTGCTTCCGTTGATTCGGATTAAAGTTTGAACTACCATAACCATATAGTTTGCGTATTACTTACCCTTACTTTTAATGGCCTTTCTAACATTCTTTAGGTCGTATTGAACTTCCGGGAGAGCATCGTGTCTGGATTCGTGAGACGCTTTTGGTCCGCGTGAAGTTAACCAGCTGTGCTGCAGCAAAGGAATGTTTTAGCCTGCTTTTCGTTTCTCCTAAAAAACGGCCGATTTTACTCTCGTTTGCGCAGTCGATTTCCCTTGTTCATATTCAAATCCTTACAGTTCTTGTTCCAGAATGTCGTTACGAATAGACGATTCGTCGATGTTCACTTCAGCGTTGCAGTTGAATTGTGGGAAAGCTGAAGATGGTGTCGCCGAAGGCAATGGCAGTGGGGAGGTTGGTCAGAGCTACATATACCAATTATGGTTTTCCGAGTTCCATCAGCTTATTTCTTTATTTTTTACTGCTTTTTCTTAGGTCTCGTGGGTTTCCTTGTTACATTACGTCACATTAAATGTATCGCCATTATCACTGAAGTCAGTCGGGGCGTGTTGGGTGGGAGGGGGGGGGGGGCGTGAAATGGACGGCGGCGGCAGCTCTTCACCACCGACTAATTGAAGCCCAAAACTTCAACGTCTGATGTGAACACGGCTGGCGCCGCGAGAAGACCATGCTGTGCTGACACACACCGACTGATTTTAGTGCTTCCGAGTGCAGTTGAACTCTCTAAGTAACAATAAGGATGCGGTGATTCTGGCCGCTTGTGAACTCATATATCAGGCTCAAGTATGACGTCACAGAACTCTTTTTTATGATCACGACCCCCCGCCCCCCCACCGTTTCTCACAAGGCTCTCTGACCTCTGTCTTCTGCTCCCATGTGATTCTCTAGCGCCCACACGTCAATGAGCAGTGGAAGGATTCAAGGGGTACTGCAATCCGCCTACAGCTTGAAAACAAATTGAGCTGAGATCTAATCCTCACAAGGCAGACATTCCTTGAGCACACACTTTGATCCACAAGTGCTGACACCACTGAGTACGGCCCACCCCTATCCGCAGCGCAGGCTCTTCCCCAAACAGCGATCGTGAGGATGGTAAAGGATCCCAGAAGTGGGTATTGTCCTGTCAGGGCTGGCGTCAGTGATTCAAAAAGATTTTGATTTATAGTTGAGAAGCTTTGAACCAGTTTCTGTAGAGTGCTCCTAATCCCGTATTGCACTCATTGGTTACAAAAAGCCTCCCCCGGCAAACAGTACTGACTCCACTGACCTCTGACCAGACAGATGACGACAAAGGCAATGACGACAGCAACGGTTTTTCCACGATTTTCACCCAACACGTGAAATCCAAGAAACTACGTTGAGGGAGCTGTCTGAACACTTTCTGAGCATGATTTACAGCATAAATTCAACAGACGGACGATGCCGTGATGCCAACGAACAGCTGTCCACCTGTCCACCAAATCAACAATGTAAGAAAGAGATATGAAGAGGAGCGATGGTCGTCGATTTTTTGACCCTAGTCATAGCAGAAATTATGAGTCTGAGCCGATTGACTGGCGTTGGCGGACAGCGAGACAATCGCCCAGCGTAACGATTATCGTTCGCAGCAGATTACGGTACGATTCCATAATATGAGGCAACTGTATCGTGTGGTACGCTAGATGAAAGGGATCTTCTTCTTGAAACGGTTTGATTTGGATTTTTCTAGAAGCTATATTTATAATAGATGAAATACTTCGGTACACGCCATACATCCAACTTTATTCGGATCCGGGGCGTCATCGAAGTGGGTACTGCTAGCGGACAGCTTACCTGGACCGACTCAACTCCATGGTCCATGGGTACTTTTTGGTCAGATCACACAGATGCGATTTTCGCTCATCAGCAGAATGAAGACGTCTACAAGTGGACCGGTTCTAACTTTCTTCATTCATGGTCAGCCCATATTAATTGGAACGGTCGAAAAGTAGAGGAGGGAAAAAAACCATGGGACTTTGATTACCTTATATGGATCATTCAAAGAGTTCCTTGAGCAGGAGAGGGATTAGCATCATCCGGACAGAATCACCAATCAGAATTAGTACTTAAAATCGGTTTGCTGAGCTCGCTTAGTCCCCCCATTGCGGTAGGCCTAGTTTTGCAATGGGAATCCTTTGAATACTATCTCCTAGGTTTCTAACAATAACGATTAGAGTCCTCATCAAACGGTGAAGTGGAAATAGCGGTGCAGTGATGGAGTCGCTTACCGCTCTTGTTCCTTGGGGTCCACCCTGGCCTGGGCCAACGAAGCTCTAATTCTTCGCGGTCTACTAGTTGTCACTGTTATTGCCTGAGATGGCTAACTACTGCGTACGTCGTTCTGGAGGCCGTATTCAAAAAGAGCCGTTATGTTTGTGAATGAGTGTGTGGAATGCGTGGCCCATCCAAAAAGAGGTTATTAGTGCCGAAACAATGCAGACCAGCAATATGGTCTTGAACGGGATCGAACCCTGACATATAGCAAGATTGCCCCAACCGCTTTTTCATGATTTCCTTCTCAGCGCACTCTTATGAAACCCTGATGACACCTTTCTATTATGCTCAATTCCTGATGGCCGTTACTCGACTTGTGCTGGTTCAAACTGTGCATGACTTCTGATGACTTTCGGAGCGCGAGCTAGGTGTTAAGCTGCATAAGACACTCGATCCTCAGTGGTTCCAAGGTACAAGGCTTGATTCCAAGACTCACAGGATTCTCGGTGTTTCATCAACCTTCGCAGGATTCTGGGTGCTTCACCAACCTTTCTACAAGTCACCAATGTTACAACTTATGAGACTATACTAGAGCACTAGACTACTAGAGTTGCTAGTTCCAGCTCAGGACCTTGTCGATCCAGTAACTGTTTTCAGCCGACCACGAACGGCGGTACCCCATCACCAGAGACGCCGTCAAATACGTTCGATATTGAAGCACAGCAGAAGGCATTTCAACGATTTACTTCAAGTCTTGGTAAGAGTTTTCGAAAAATTTTCAGTTGTTTCTGCTTATTTTCTACTTTATCACAACGCTTATGGCTCGTGGTTTGAACAATCACCGAACCCTGTGGATACGGTAATTTTTCGTAGTAGATGAGCGCGAGTTTAATTTTACTTGATCCATGCCGGTTTCTACTCACTATGAAGTGTTTGATGGGTTTCTCAATTGCTCAGAACATATTGTAATGAAGATAAGTGGGCTGCATAATATTGCCCTAGAAATTTCTAGCACCGTTTGAAATTACTGAACGTGGGGATAAACTCCATAAGTGCAGATTTTGCGCTTAAAAATTTTGAAAGTAGATCCGAGGTCAGCGTAATGAAACGCCTCTGATGGCAGAGGTTTTATCACAAATGGCCGGACTCAGACTGGGCTTCCCTTAGTAAGCACAGAATGGGCGACTCAAGGTCTGTGCCTGGGTAATATCGGCTTTATGAACAAAATTTTTGATTCATGTAAGGCGGTATGTTGCAGATGTCAGATTTTCGTGAGCTCCATTAATGGAGTCTATCGGAGGAGGTGCACTCTACAAGCTCGTGAAACAGCGCTCTAAACTCGGCTCTCATTTGGCCAGCAGAACTTCTGCAACACTGTCCACATTTCATCCTGAAAGATCCTTCATCTATGAGCTCTGAGTTATAAACATGGATGTCATTTTTTGAAGCTTTTGGATGAATCGTTTATGAAGGGCTAGTACTCCAGCAGTACCACCTAGGGGCTTGGCAATTGTTTAACGCTGGTCCTGTGCCGGAGGCCGTAATCTTCCTGGGTTTGGTGTGACGAAACTAAACACTTGAAACCTCCACCCCCCAAGTAGTGGCAAGTGGCGCGCTTACCACGCGCATAATCTGGGTATCGAATTCCGCTTCGCTTTCCCCCCAGACCGACCACGCCTTTTCTTCTCCGGGGATGGGAAATTTGTGCCAGAGGATAAAACACTGACTCGCTGTATGAGCACCACCGCATTCAGTCAGCCACCGCAATTCAGAAAGGAAGTAGGTGCGTGCCGCAACCGAAGGGGTTTAATAACTGCGAAGACGTTATCCTTACAACCTCTTTCTCTGTTTTTGAAGGCCAATTTGTTGGCACCAGTATGGATTTAAAAGATCCCATAATCGTTCAGGCCTTGGAGGATTTCGTTCCGCCTTCAACATGAACGTCCTACCACCGTTTTTGGCCGCACTGCAACAGAATCCATTGGCGTTACAGGTTGGTCACCTTGTTAGAAGCAATTACCAGCGCTTATGTTCTCCATTTTACCATTTGAACAAGCCGACGTTGATTACTGCTTTCAATTAGTAGCGGTTTTTGCAGCAACAATTACTTGGTTTGTCCAATGGATTGAGCGGCGTATCACCGGGACCGGATGAAGAGGACGAGATGGAGAATAGTGCCACCACCGAACCGGAAGACTTGACGATGAGGTGCGTGGTTGCTAGAGAATTTTATGACTCAGTTTTTCGTTTTCGACGGTTTATCTCGTCCGAATGTCTCGTCAGTTTATAAAGGCAAGGTCTTGAAAGTTGGAAAAGTTTGGGAAGTTTGCATGCATCTTTCGCATTACTTTTAGTAGCTCTGTAAATATTGTGAATCGATTTAGCTTCCGCAAGGACGCAAAGTTAGAAGACCATCATGGGGAAGGCGGGACGTCACTCGGTGGTCCTTCATGGTCTTATGAAGAGCAGTTCAAACAGGATAGCGCAGTAAATTCAATCGAAATGCTTGAGTATTCGTTTTTGAGCCTCCGAGGGCTTCAACTGTAGTACTTCCAAACTGAAAGGTGCAGTGAATCCTTACGAACCAGTTTCCCAGCGAATTTTCTATTAAAATTTCGGAAGAAACTGGTTTTCATCTTCAGTTGCAAGCTCTGTGTTAGTTCACCGGCAATCGCGAGGAGCCAAAATATATAACTTGTAGAAGAAGACATGTGAGAAGCTGGCCTAAAGAGACCCATCCAGCAAGCAGACGTTGGTTGGGAGACCCTGTGGCGATGGTGCGCTAAAAGCGTCCGCCAGCGATGTTCGCGCGGTAGCACTCGCATCGGACTTAAGTGATTCAACACGGAAGCTCCGGATAGCCGAAAAAATGTAGGCTAAGCTTTGGCGTGTTGTTACTGGGGAGTATCCAAAGTGACACCACGTTGTTCACGATAGGTCAAAAAGCCAGCTGCAGTGCCCTTGTACTTGAACTGGCTGATGTTACTTAGGTCCCTTTCGTTACAACAACGACGGTCTACAGACTTTTAGAGGTAGCATAGATCTACTTCTAAATCGCTTTTTTGAAGGAAATGAGTCCAAGTGGCACCCCTGAGCTCAGGCATTTCCGTAAGGTTTCCAGTCTCACTATAATGTGTGGGCCGTATTCGAGCTGCTGGGGAAAAAGAGCTTGATTTGGGTTGCTTGTGATTTCTGCATTAATAGTTGTAAAAGGGTTCTCTGGGAACAAATGAAATAAAAGAACCGACACCAATTAATAAAAAGCTGTATAAACTTATCGAAATGAATGAAAGTAGTGAAATGAATTGATGAATGAAATGAGTTGCACGGAAACTCCTACTCCTGCTTCCGGTCAACAAGTTTTGTCCGAGAAGTTGCAGGATATAGCAGGGAAGAGAAGGTAAGAGAGGTCTGATCTATGAAGATGGCTTTGGATTGAAAGGGTAGAGGGCGCTATTTGAGAGGGCGCTGCAGGAAACAGGTCGTGCTGAACCATCAACATTTTTCTTCTTGGCCTTGACTAAGCTAACAGAAATGTATTTGATTGGCTGATTGAAGGACTATGGCTGCCTATTAGATTCAGTCTATCCTGGCCAGGATCCGTATTATGTGCGTCGCGACCCTGCCTCTAACGCTGCCAAACGTCTGAAATATCCCATCTTTGAGGCCTGTACCTATATTTAACTATGTATGATTTATGACATTGATCATAAGCGCAGTTCAACTTGGTAGGGGCCCCTGTGAAGCCTGTACAGGTCGCCTTGTGAAGACCTGTGAATTGTTGTAACCAAAAAGGCTCACTTATACCAATTCGCACCTTTACGAGTATATACAGGTCTGACAAGAACGAGACCTGTATCAGACATGAACTAGTAAAAGAAACCGGCGAGAGTGCGAAAAACCCCTCCCAAGCCGAACAGCGCCTGACTATATATCAATCGCTGTCTTCGTCCTTTCCACTCGGATCAGTGCAGCGAAAGGCTTTCAGGTACTAAACGAGCCCTTACTCATATATTCTGCGAAAGCCGTTGGCCCATAGAAGTATTTAATTCCAAGAAATCCTTCCCACATCTTCGTTGCATGGAGCTAATTGACTAATCCGGCGCTGAGTGCACTCATCGCCTGAGTATCGACCGTATCGTCGTGCTTGACGACGGACGACTGCAGTGGGCTGAACTACCGTATTCGGATTATTCGCGGCCGGTGGAATTCACGCGATTGTTTTCATAGCAAATCGCGCCGCGCGTGCATGATTCACGAAGCTTTTTGTCGAGCTGCGCATACGAATGGCGTATTGTTGCATTGACGCGCCCTGTCAAACCAGCCAGCCGAATAGCCGCAGCCAGGTGATGACGACGATGAGACGCTCTCAACACTTGCCGCTTCACTGGTCATTATGGTGATTAGTGGAAATCTAGGAGCTTTAGAGACGTAGGGACTTTCCATAGTTGCTCAAGCCTTGCACTGAACCATCGTAAAGTCGAATCTTGGGAGATCGTAATTGGATTCCATCAGCTCCGCCTTTTGGCCAGATCGTCACTTCAGGAATGTTTGCACAGTCCCTGTACACAGCGCCTAAATAGCCTCATCTCGTTGTTCAGCAAAGTTTAGAACAGGGATCAGGTGAGCGATTCCTAGTGGAGCGGACCCTGAAAGGAGGATTTTAAGTGATAATAGCAGCCGCAGGCCTATTAAGCTGTCCACTAAACTTTGAAAAATGACCGCCACTGGGGAATGCATGACCCCGTTTGACGGGGCCCATTTTTGACAATAGGGTGATCTTGGGACCGTCGAGTTCAGGTCTATCGAAAGATCCACCGTGAAAGTCCTCGCCGCTCGTCAAAGCCTTTGGGATGCGGCACGCATTCTACTTCCATTCAGAATCGTAGTGGCTTATTGAATGCGATGTGGCCTATACAATGACTTGTGGGGGCCAGCCGATGTACAAGTCAGTGTTTGTGTCCTTCTGGATAATTATGGTACTAAATTACCGTCCCTGTGGATAAAAGACTTGTTGCTAAGCGGGAGTCGATCCGGGATTTGAGCTGACAGAATGCGGCGTGCATTCTCGTCAATTCTCCCCGGCTATCTCGCACCCCAGTTATCCCTTTGAAAGTACACAAACATTGAATCTACCTGGCGGTCGCAGCTATTCTGTTTTTTTTTTCTTTGTGAAGGGGTAAATGGAGCTAGCGAAGTCGCCTCTCGAAGTATCATTTGTGGGGGATATCGGCGTCCTGAAATTCCTCAGTGAGATGATGAGACCCTGAAACAGTTCCCCTGCAGGCATCGTGTCACCAACCATGGGTGCGCCATGCAACTGCTGCTGCCACATGGGACCGGAATTGGCCTGGGAGCCTATGAGATAATAAATAACAGGATGCGTCTCTTGCAAAACGTTATGCGTACGAAATGTTTAGTTCCCCAGCAAGACAGCTGCTTTGTTTTTTGAGGTTGGTCCAGAAATGAGTTCGAATAACTTTCTTGATACCATAGGAGTGATGCCTCGTGTGCTTCAGGTTGCTTTAAGGGATTCCGTACTTAGATTATCGGCACAATCAAAAACTAACTGCGGCACGAAGCATATATTGTGCGAAGGGGGAACGGCGCTTGGCTGCAAGCCTTTATGTATATCATTTCCTCGGAAAAGCCAAGGCATAGAGCGCAGTCGACCAGAGTCAGCGACAGATAGTCTTACAGAGGATTCATGTACCCTACGGCTCCTAATTCTTAACCATAGGAAGAGATATGGAGGCGTCCTCATGTGAGAACGGTTCCCTACTAGGTTAGCGCAGCTCTTCCGTCCCCTCCCCCTCCCCCACTCGGTTTTTTCGGGAACTCTCATTCCCTGGCTCACGACGCTAGTTTTGCACCTCTCATAAAAAGTGCGATAGAAACCCTCGCAAATATTCCACGGCTTTTTTTGGGGGGACAAGTTTTTTTTTTTTTTTTCTAAAAAGAGGTTTTGAAATCGTTTTCCACATGACTAGTCGCAGCGGCGATGCGCTTTTCTCAACTGGAGAGCACGAGCATCACCTTAATGATGCTTTCCCTGCTTTCTTTCTAAGACCAGGTATGGTTCATTTTTTAGTCTTTGCAGGGTCTAGAGCAAAACACAGCTCTCTATGCTTACTTCTCCTTGAACTTTCGTCGGAACTTGAATCATGGTTTGCAAGAGCCAGAATCCTCCGGCAATGTCTCTGGAGGCATTCCGGCATATCGTTCAATTTAGTCTGACTGTTGCGATACGGGTAGCGTCTTAGTGAATCTAGCTCTAAATCAAGGCGAGTAAATTTGATGCTGTCAGCTGTTGGCCGATAATCAAACGAAGTTTTGAGGCGTTCTGCCATGCGATCAAATCAGGCGCACATCAACGTCTGCGGCTAAAACCCTGAAGCATTGGCACGGCCAAACACAACTTCGCAACCGCCAGGCACGGCTGGGCCAGCCGACGAGGGACTCCATCATCAGCTGGCTTGATGAGCTTGATGACGGTCGTCATTCATAGCATTTACAACTCCGTCCGACGTGCAAGGCATCTAATTTCGAAATGCCACATGATTTACAGCCCCTTATCAGGCCTCATCACGGGAGCAGCTTAATTGAGCATTTGAATCAGGCAGCCACTCATGGACTGGGTGGATTGGGGGTAGGGAATGTGGGACTGTTTGGTTTGGGGGGTGTTAGCGTTTCGCACTTTCGCTAGTTTTTTTTGTTAGCGTCATTTGTGAGGGCGCGAAAACGTGCAGGTGATTCGGCTACAGAGTTATGCAGCTTTTCACAAGGTGGCTACACAAGCTTTGCTGAGTGCGTGTGATGCCCCACCAAGCCTATCTGCGCCCAAGAAGTTTTGACTGCTCAATATCTCCAGTGCAGACCAGCTTGGTGGGGGCAAAATGTGGTACTCAGCAAACCTGTACAGGTCAACTTGTGAAATCTCGTAAACACTTCTAACCAAAGCTGCTCACTTGTACCATTCTGCAGCTTCACAAGAGTTTACAGGTTTGATCAAGATAAGATCTGTTCAGTAACATGAATCAAAGAAAAGAAACTAGCGAAAGTGCTTAGTGCCCCTTCCAAGTCAAACAGTATGTCATATCCTCACAAAATTGGTGCGGACTTTTATTTGGTCAAAGTTAGTAGCACAAATCACCTTTGGGAGCCTTTTTTCACATGTGAAGCTCTGTCGAACCCTATCAGATTTTCGTTCGTCTGGCATGAGATTTCAGAGAAATTTCTTTTTCTTTGAAACGAAGCATATGTTGCTGACCTTGACTGATATGAATGATGGATATAACGCAGTTGTGTGATTTATTGGAATGAGGGAAGATGAACAAATTTTTGATGCATATTAATCGAATGAAGTGGGGGAAGGGACGCCGCTTATTGCCCGATTGCAGATCAAGCCCCCTCTATTGAAGGCCCGACCAACCTAACCAAACACTCTTCTTTCAGATACGTTGCGGTCCAGACTTTTCTGAGTGGTTAGAACCACAGATCTGTACATAATTTGGCCCTAGCAAGCTCTGAAGTAAGCATTCAAATCG